TCTTCATCTTCTTCTTCTTCACCTTCTTCACCTTCTTCACTTTCTTCTTTTTCTTCATCTGCAACTTCTTCTTCAACTTTTTATAGTTTTCTTTCTTAACCTCTTCATCTTCTTGTACTTCACTTTCTTCACCTTCTTCTTTATCTTCTTCATCTTTTCTAATTTTTCTTTTTCATCCTCTTCATCTTCTTGTTCTTCACCTTCTTCACTTTCTTCTTTATCTTCTTTTTCAACTTCATCTTTTTGTTTTTATTAAAGTGTGATAATATAAATCAAATGAAATCAGAATTGAAATCTTTTCACAAACATTTTTCTTCACATTTATTTGTTAACATTTTAATTATGTAAAAATTTCATCGTGAATAAATAATTAAATCAAAACGATGATTTATCTTTTTGATCGAAAAAAAAAGAAAAAAAAAGAAAAAGAAAAAGGAATATTAAAATGATCTACTGCGATGAAATTTAGAATAAATTTTCTGCTACTAGTTGCTTATTAAAATCATGTTTATGGTAAATCCACACATTTGCGTTTATGTATTCGTGTTTTTGTACAAATTCAAATTATTCATCTTAGAATGTGTACATTTAAATATTAATTAGAGAAATTGTTCTATTATAATATGATAGAATCGTTTTCCAATTAGAATTTTCTTTTTATTTACTTTCGATTAATCTCTGAATGTTCGAATTGAAACATTTGTATCTTGAATAAATCAATTATTAAACAAATTAAATTTCTTTTCATGAAGGAAGTCAAAAAAGAAAAAAACGAAAGAATATGATTCAGCTAAAAAAAAAAAAAAATAGCCGATTCAATTTATTATTTTCTTCCTACTCCCATACATTAACAAAAATTACTTATCGTAAAGTTTAACATTTCGATTTTCTTCTGAACAAATAAATTTCCCTTATACGAACTAATTGTATAAATTAATTGTTTGCAATATTTATATATTTCATTTTGGTCTATTCTAAGCGTTCGCTCGATAATAATATTTAAAAAAAATATATATATATAATATATATATATATATATATATATATATATATATATATATATATATANAAAAAAAAACAAAAAAACAGTTTCGAGAAAAATGCGTTCAAAGTTTCGCGTAGTAGGGGTAGGATATAGGATACTGCGTCACAAAAACAGCTATATCTTCGAAAATAATTTCTATTTTGAAAAATCATCTTGAGGACATATTCTTAAAGGGTTAAGCTTATATGTATAAAAAATAAAAATTAAAAATAATTCTCTTTAAATTCGAATATTGTTAAGTTTGCGCTAAAAATTAAAAAATAAAAAATTGGTAAAAATTATATATACAAAACTTCTTAAATATATATATAATATTATATGTATAAAAAAAAAAGTATAAAAATTAAAAATAATTCTCTTTAAATTCGAAGGATTTTTCTTTTTTTCTTTAAATTAAAAAACAAACAAAAAATATTAAAAATTTATATATAAATACATCCTAACGTTAGATTAATAAAACTGTAATAAATATTCGCACTATTAATCATTTATAATTAATTAAATTATTATACCTGAATTGGATATCATTTCTACATATTTCAAACGTACATTTACTAATACATTAAAAACAATAATCATAATAATAATAATAATAATAATAATAAAGAATTAATTATAAATGAAACGTTGTTACAATTTATATTAATTAAATGATTAAATTACTATTGGGATCTCAATTCGGAGCAATTCGACCTATCTACTCTAATTTTGTATTTAGCCACCAGATAGCGTATTCAAGTGCAAGAGATCTCACGTGACGTAGGGCGTAGCAATTCGACCTATCTACTCTAATTTTGTATTTAGCCACCAGATGGCGTATTCAAGTGCTAGAGATCCCAATATCTATGAGTTATTTTTAAATGTAAATTGAATATTATTTACAAATATTGTACGTTAGTAAAACACACTAACATTTTCTTGCATATTATTCAATTTTCACTGTATATATATATATTTTTTTTGTTTATTTTTCTAACTCTCTCTCTCTCTCTCTCTCTTTCTTCTGTAAATATATTTTACTATATTTGTTTTCTTTGCAAACATTATACACGCAACATTCATTCGTGGGCACATTTAAACGAAATCTCTAACCTCAAAATCTTATACAGTAGTTATACTTTTAAAATATAATATTGAAAATACATGTAAACATACGCACATAATAATTTTTCAAAATTTAAACCCCTGTGGACGGAATTGTTTTCATTTTTTTGTTTTGTTTTTTTTGTTTTTAAATATTATAGAATAATAAAAAGTGTACACGCAGGAAGTTAGTCATAAAAAAAAAAAATAAAAAAAAATCCATAAGTTAACATATATAAACATCTATGTGTGTTGCACATTGCCACTTGTAAATGCATATTAAAAATTAGATATTTAATATATTCTTTGATTATAATAATCTGCAGGCGCTCTTGACGAAATTCTTTTTTTTGTGATTTCTCGTTTTACCACCACCTGACCTTAAAACTATGGTCCCGTTTCCGCTGTTACGACAACACGTTGATCCGTTTGGACTAAAGGCACCTATAACAACATAATAAAAATAAAATAATAATATTATATTCGTAATATATAAATTCATTGTAATGTAATATAAACAAAACAATGAATTATTATATTAAAAATAAATAAATAAATAAATAATTGTATCTATTAGAACAAATTAGGAATTTTGTAAATTATGATTTATTAATACAAAAAATATTTCAACACGAACGATTGTATTTAATTCTAAAAAATAACACACACACACACAATTTTATATAATTAATTTAACGAAATAATAATAAAATATATAATAATAATAAATAATAATAAAATTAATTGAACGAAATATAATCGTAATTTGATAATTTTGGAATTATCTTAGGTAATTCGAAAAATCGTTTCGTTTTTCTTTTGTAAAAATGAAGACAATTTTTGCTTCGAGGTTAAAATCTAAACCTTTCAAGTGGTCATAAATAGTTGATTGTGATAAATTTAAGTTCTCATCGATCTTATGTGTTACTATTTGTCAGTTTGCATCAACTAATACCATTATTGTGTTAGGAAAAAACGAAACGACTTTCTGAATCACCTAATACTTTAAATATGGTACTCACTTATTACAGAAGGTGATCTAGGTCCTGTTGAATACAACCTTAAATCTTCTTGATAATCGTTATCGTTACGACGCATTTCGTGCAAACAACGCGATGCCAAATGTCGGAACACGCTCATAACACCGACATCTTCTTTCACGGATGTTCGCAATAGTTTACATCCAAGTGCACGACCAAGTCTTTCAGCTTCGTCCCTGAAACAGTTGGTCATACGTTTTTTTTTTTTTTTTTTTTTTTTATTTCAGAAATATGACCTCGTATATTACTCGAGTGTAAAAAGAAAAAAATAAGAACACAAGAACAGAGAAAAGAAAAAAAATATATATAAAAACAAGGCAAACGACCAAAAAATATCGAGGACAAATTTTACATATTAATTAATTGAATAATATATTCGTTCGAAAAAATCATTAATTCCAAAATTATGCAGAGAAAAAGAAAAAACAAGATAATGATGATGATAAAGATAAAGATAAATATTATATAAGTAAATACAATATTTAATAAAAAAAAGAAATGTGTGTGTGTGTCTGTGTATAATGAGAGGAAATTTTTCAATTTATGTTAAGCAAATAAAGATAAAGATAAATATTATATAAGTAAATA